AAACGAATCGCTGTGGCTCTAGAAAACACACCCAGTTCCCACCCTCACGATCTAGCTGCTCTTCTGCAAACAGCCTCTCCACCCCACCTGCTGACTTTACAAGTTTAGTTGAATTCATACAATTAATTTATAATGGATCTTGTTAGGACAAGGAAGTGTTTTATTTATTTAGGACAAAAACATTTGCAACATAATTCTCTCCTCAAAACAGAGAACCCTTCAAAATACACAAAGCAATCTCTATTTGTATTTACCCAGGGACATGAGCAGCCGGAAGGGGGTTGGGACTGGGAGCAAAGCCAAGAACTAATTCCACTTTAAAAAAAAAACAAAAAAACAAGAAACTGCCTTATAAAAAATAACAGTTTTCTACTTGTCAGTAGCTACACTTTCCCCCACTCCATGTATGAAAACGTGAAACAGAAAACAGCACCTGTGAAAACACACGTCAGCAGCATCCGTCAGTCGGGATGAGGCAGAGACCAGGGCTGTGGGACTCCAGCCCCTCTTCCAGGTAGGCCAGTGCAACAACTGAGTGGGGAGTGCTCCCTGAGCCCCTGCCCCAGCCTGCTCCTGTCTGCCCCCATAATGACGGGGAACTCCAGCAGCCCCTCGTCTTGCTTGGAGTCAGCTGAAAAACCTAGGAAGCAAACGCAGTGGTTAGAAATGTATCACAACCCACAGTCCAGCGCCCACCACCTGCAGCTCCAGTGTGGTCGGTCACATGCACAGATGGAGCCAAGCCCAGTGCTGGCTCCGTGGTTCAGGGAGGATGGGCATGGCTGACGACAACTAGGTGGAATCAGGACAGATACTATTACCGGACGGTCAACTAGGTGGGCTCTGGGGAACCTGCCAGTTAGCACCCTGGCTTTGGCTGGCTCACAGTACAGTAGTAACGCAGTGTCCTGTGATGCTAGACCGACCTGTGGGGGCCCCAGGTTCATATCCCAAGGCCTCCTTGTACACACTGGGCACGCATGCCTATGATCTCGGCTGGCCGGGTGTGTCACAAGGTCCTGTGTGGGATGCCTGTCTCTAGCTCTCTGTCGTGGAAGAACTGACTGATGAACAAAAAATAATTTTAAAAAATTGTGGCTTCACGGGGCCAGCAAGTAGCAATAGTGGTTAAGACTCTGGACTCCTACATGTGTGACTGCGGTTTAAGTCTTAGACCCAGTGTCTTAAAACTCACACCAGGTATGTGTGTAAGTGTGCCCAAGATCCCAAGAGGAGAAGAGATTGTGGCGTGGCCATCCCCCTGAGGGGTGACTTCTCACTTTCTGTCTGTCTCTGTCTCTCTGGCAAGTGCACATGCCCTATAGCAAACATCTCTCAAAAAGAAAAAAAAATTGGGACCTGCAGTTAGCGTAATGGCTATGTTGCTGGACTCCCATGTAGCCGACCACGGTTCGAGTCCCGGACCCGGTGGCTTAAACTCACACCAGGTATGTGTACATGCATGCCCAAGATGCCGAGAGGAGAATGATGGAGAAGGGACTGCGGCATGGCCATCCCCCCTGGGGGGTGATTTCTCACTTTCTGTCTCTCTGTCTGTCTCTCTCTTTCTGGCGAGTGCATGTGCCCTATAGCAAAAACCTCTCT